CACGCGGCGGGGCGCCCCCGAGGCGACGATTTTTAGTCCCTGGGCTGCGAGGGCCGTGTGGACCTCCAGTTAGAATGTGGGGGTCAGATGCGTGCGAGAGCGCCTGGGTCTTTTTCCCACTTTTCACTCAAAGGGTCCTCGGTGAACTGGGTCCGACACAGCCGTTTCTTTTCATCCGCTGCTGTTGAGAAGGAGAGAAAAGCCAGGTCCTGGGACGGTAGTGTGCTGAGAAATGGAAGGCGAGGCCAAGGAGCTGCCCCTAAATATTGGAAAGGTGGCTGTCAGGTGGAGGTGAGGGCAGATGGCAACAGGATTAAGGTGGGATCTAGAAAAAGACCAGGTTCCGCTCTAAAAGAGAAGCAATGTGACAGTCATAGATTCTTGTTGCTCAGTTCGACCTAACAGGAAGCAGAGTCATAGCAATAGATGCTTGTTGGTGTGCATGGTTTTGGAAGCAAGCAAATCAGGTCCTCCAGCTCAGAAAGCCAGACTGCACCACTAGACTCTTTTTCACAAAGAAGTTTACTTAAAGTGGCCACAAGAGGAGTTGGAGTGCTGACACTCTAAATCCCGCTCCCTGAAAGGTGGGACTGCTGGGGTTATATGTGGGGGCAGGAGAGTTAGGAGGTGTTGGTCCAGGAGGGAGTATAAGGGAGTCACTCCCAGGCCCCAGGATTCAAGGGCCAGTAGGTAGGCACCCTGAGTCACAGTGCTTCGGGGAGTGACAACTCCTTCCTGGCCTAACAAACTCTGACCCTCAAGTGTTTGCCCTCAGTGTTATCAACCTGGAAGGGACAATTTTTGTTAGAGATGTAACACAATCAGTTTTAAGGTTTCTGGGAATGCAGTTGGAGAAAAATATATTTGTTGCTAGTTATAAGTTAATCACTGGGGGCCCTCCCTGATGGCTCAGCGGGTTAAAGCACAAGAGAAGCTGAGAAGCTGAAGCCACTTCAGCGTGAGTTCCCTGCCTGCCTGCTGCTACATGGTGCAGCAGACCTCTCCTGACCTGCCTGCTACTCTCCTCAATAGCATACTACATCAGTGGGCCTGTTCTGTTCCCCACTCTGTCTCTGGTGAATCCTCTCACCGCCTCTGCACCTCTGGCCTGTACCCCAGTTCTGTATGCATAAATAAATCTTTTAAAAAGTTAATCACGAGAACAAGGGTAGTTAGAACTTAATTTTGCTTGGTTCTGTTTAGTTCTAAGTATAGTAGGATAGTTTGTATGTTATTGACAGGAAGCACTTGTGCTTTCCCAGCTCCATAGGGAGAAGGGCAGATTGTAAAGGAGACTTAAACGTTGGGTGGGAAGCTAGACTAATGATCTTTGTATTCTTTCCGAAGATTTTTTTTTCCCCTGCAATTAGCTTTAGAAGCCAAACTTTTCTAATTTGCTTCTTTTGGGGGAATATATCGTTACTTACGCAAAGGCCATCTTGCAAAGAAAGGGATCAAATTCTTCATAAACCTCTGGGAACTTTGACACAACTTGTCAAAGCCTGGTCTGCCCGTTTCCCTGTGGCCCTTACCTGAATTTAACCTACCATGGGGCAGTGTTTGCAAGATACAAGCCCTACAGTGTTGACATCCACTGCCCAGCCCCTTCAGTGAGCTGTCTCTTACACAAGCACATGTTCAAAAACCTCTCTCTAGTTTAAGCTCAGGAAGCTTCAGCTAACCCAGCAAGTATTTTTTAATTATAGGCTGCCAAGAGGTGGTTAATACGATTTATTTTGTAGCTAACACAGCTTTTTCACTGACAAAAAACATATGGTGCCTTCTTTTAGGTAAGGAAGTAGAGGTTCTGTGGTTAAGCCACTGACCTGTTCACTAGCAAAAGGAGAACTAAACTGAGGTATCTGAAACTGACCAGAGGGATTTTGTGCCTTCACAGATGTAAAACTGATGAGGCCATTGCCATGATTGCTAGATTTTTAAATTAATTTTTATTCAGACCAGAGTGACACTTGTTTAAAAAATCAAATATTGGGCCCTTCCTGGTGGCGCAGCGGGTTAAAGCACAGCACTGAGAATCTAAAGCCGCTTCTGCATGAGTTCGATTCCCGCTTGCCCTGGAGGAGATCCACATGGTGTGGCAGACCTCTCCTGACCTGCCCACTGCTCCCCTCAGCAGTGTACTTTGTTGATCTGCCTGTTCTGCTCCCTGTTCTGTCTCTGGTGAATCCTCTCACCCTCTGCATCTCTGGCCTGTACCCCAGTTCTGTATGAATAAATAAATAAATCTTTAAAAAAAAATCAAATATTTTAGTAAAAATACTACAGCATTGGGTTTACCCAACTGTTCCTTTAACCTCATATTCCCTATACAATCCTCCTGATTCTCCAAATAAGGCCACGGCTTCCATGTGCAAACTGTTCTAGTTTTTTCTTCTTATAAATTGCATGTTTATAAATTATATGCTTTCTTTCACTCAGTAATTATAGACATTATTAATTTCTTGTCATATTACATAAGGATTTAATTCTCCACCCATCCAATATAGTTGCATTATAATTTTTGCTAAATCAACTCAAAATGGATTAAGGAACTAGACATAAGACCTGAACCCATAAAATATATAGAAGAAAATACTGGCAAAACATTATACTCTTATAGTGCTTTATAGTCCTATAGTTTTATAGTCCTATAGGGGACTTAAACGCTAGACTAATGACCTTCAAATTCTTTCTGAAGATTTTTTTTCTTCTGTAACTAGCTTTAGAAGTCAAACTTCTTTAAAGAAGTCAGTAACATCTTTAAAAATACATTGCCCAAAGCAAAGATAGTGAAGGAAAGGATAAACATCTGGGACTACATCAAATTAAAGAGCTTCTGTACAACAAAAGAGACATTAACCAAAACAAAGAGACATCCCAGTGATTGGCAGAAAAATTTTGCACACAGTACTAATGATAAAGGACTGATCACAAAGAGCCACAAAAAGCTGATGAAATGCAACAAAAGTAAAATGAACAGGGACCTCCCTGGTGGTGCATTGGGTTCAAGGACAGCACTATGAGGCTGTCTGCAGCATAAGTTCAATTTCCGGCGGGGGAGGGGTCCCACATGGTGAGGCAGAACTTTCCTGACCACTAGCCGGTTGCCTTCAAACTGGCAATCATTTTTCACATATGTCGGCAGCTGTCCCCGTGTTAACTCACACTGAAGCGGCTGCGGCTAGCTTACATTGCTTCATCCTAACCCGTTGCACTACCAGAGATGGCCTATGAAGTATTTTTTTTAGATTAATACATGTGTACATATGTGGATAGAAAGGAAAAATAAAACTCCCATTTATGATCCTAGTTCCCTTCTATAGAAGCAAGCATGCAACTGGTTTCTGAGGTATCCTTCCTGGGGACAGTCTGTGCACATAAATATGTATATATATATGTAAATGGCCATATATAGACTCATGTTCCCAGAGATACAAATAGACACATACCAGTTATATACTGTGGCTCCCTACTCCCTTCATTTTTTTTTTTAAGATTTATTTATTTATGCATACAAGAGCTGGGGTACAGGCCAAAGGTGTTGGGAGGTTAGAGGATTCACCCGAGACAGAGCAGGGAGCAGAACATGCAGAACCAGTGAGATACATTGCTGAGGGGAGCAGCGGGCAGCCAGTCAGGAGAGGTCTGCCACGCCATGTGGGTTAGCTCCCTGGCTGGGGATCGAACTCATGGCGTGGCTGCTAGTAGCTTCACAGTACAGTGCTTCAAACCGCTATGCCACCAAGGAGGGTCCCCCTACTCCCGCTCCTTAAATAAAGATTGTTTAAACTTAGAAGATTGTCCATATCAATATTTAATTCACTCTTTTAGTATTAATGTTTTTGATGATCAAAGTAATATATTTTTATAATAGAAGACCCATAAAAGTAGTCACCCTTCTTACTATCTTGGCGTAGCAAATTGAGATGTCACATTTCCAAACTTCTGGAGTCAAGACACAATTTTAAACCAATTTTCAGTATCCAGACATCCTCAATAAAATGTTCCTTGTAGAGTCATTGAATAGAGCAGGGATGGTCAGTTATCTACATCTTTTTTCATTTTTATTTTGTTTTTGTTCCCTTAGGCATTTGTGATTAAAAGCCAAGCATCAATGCTACCTGTTGAATAGCCAGGAGTGTGTCTGTGTTTAAAAATGAATAAGAGCCTTTGGTGCCTATTTTTCCAGATTTGGAGTCCAGGCATCTTTTCTAATAGTTTCAACAGAGTGTGCAAATAAAAATTACCTGAGAATCAAGCCTGATTTGTATCCTCAGAAGTCCAGGAGTCAGAGAGCTCTTAGTGAAAGGAAACAGGTTCCCACACGGCCCCTCAAGGACATAATCTAATGGCATTCTTCACTGAATGGTGCCTGTCTGCTAGACATAGGATGTAGGTGCAACAAGGTCAATACAGGCATGAAGGACAAAGAGCTGTGAAGCACTGAGCCAGCTCTGCAGGTGGGGCATGTTGGGAGGATCCTGGATTGAATGATTCTGGTAAACTCAGGGACAGAGCGCCTTCACCTCCAGCTTCGTTCCTTCCCCCTGAGCATCTCTCTAATGCTGAGCAAATAACCTACATCACACTGACACTTGGGAACCAAAATTAGCTCATATTTTTATATACACTTACCTATATACAGGTATATTTTTAATATACTTACCTCATTTTTCTGCAGCCTCTAGCTTTCCCTTTTTCTAAAAATAAAGTTCTGGTGCCACATTTTTTCACGGATTTTAAGTTCTAGATCTCAGTAGGATGTGGTATAGCATTAATTTGTAAGTGGTGTCTGACTGCTGGGCACGTTTGTTAACTATTTTAGACATAATGTAGTGTTGCAAATTTTTTACTGAAAATATTGTTTCAATTTTGGCCTGAAGTTGTGCTTGCTCAGTACAATATATCATGTTCCTTTTAATGTGGTTGATGATGGGTTGTTGTTTTTTTTTTTCTCCTTTCTAGTTACGAAAAACCTCCTCCTGGGCTTATCAAGGTCAGTGTGAAGTTTGTGCATATGGTTATCTTCTTTGACATAATTAACTGAGTGCTCAAGCACACCAAGTTGTTATGAACAACAGTTGCAAAAGGTTTTGAAGACCCTTCACGATCACCCTGATCTTCCCTGCAGATGCCAGGCAGCCACAGCTTGTGCATTCATAGAAAGGTGACCCTAAGAAGCCTCCAGCACCTGAGAGATCTTAGCGACTCCCCCCTTCTCTCAGTTGTGACTGCATCTTCTCCAAGCTCTGTTCCTGCTCCAACTCTCCCTGGACTGGCCTCCTGAGTGTCATCAGCTCAGAGATTAATAGATGAAGACACACGAGTGTATCTTTCTAGAGAGTGAGACTTTAAGAAAGCTAAAACAATGTTTTCTGCTCGGTAGCTTTCAATTAAAAAAAAGAGGTTTAGATATGTGTATGTGTATATATAGAGAGAGCTGTATATGTATAGATGTACAGAGTATATTATATATATATATAGTGTATATATATAAATATGTAGAGAGAGAGAGTGTTTTTATGAAGAATATATTTCTGTTTTGCTTCAGTAGTGACTAAGAATAACTTTTGTTTGTGATATAGTTTTTCTGGTAAAATTACTAACATTTTTTTCTATTTGGTATAATGTGGTTTTCTCCCCCCAGTTCTTGTGAGGAAAACTCATGGTGTGACATTGGGATCTCCAGTCCCTGAGAAAGCAGATGATGCGGTGTTCTGAGCAGGAGAAAGAATGTCAGTGCATTTTGTCATACTGTTTTCACGGTGTTTCCTTTCTTTAGGAAGACGAGACCAAGCCAGAAGACTGCATACCAGATGTACCAGGCAATGAGCACGCCAGGGAGTTTCTGGCCCATGCACCAACCAAAGGGCTCTGGATGCCGCTGGGGAAAGAAGTCAAAGTTATGCAGTGTGAGTCCGGAGCTTCAAGTGACACCGCCAGGGCATACATTTTACAAATCCCAGCTGACGAAGTGTCTTCACTTCTCTGATTTAATTTTCTGTGATTAATGTTTTTAATCAAATTTGGGAAGTTTTTGGCCACTATTTTTTTTTTCAGACATCTATTCTGCATGCTGTCGTACTTCTGTTCTGAGGTTTCATTATGTGTATGCGGTGAAATTCAGTGTGTGAATGCTCTGGTATCCCACGGGTCCCTGAGAATGGTCAGTTTTCTTCATTTTTTCTTTCTGTTTCTCAGACTGGATAATCTTAATTGTGACCTGTCTTTAAGTTTGCCTGCTCTTTGTCTGGCAGTCTTTAAATTTGCTGTTAAAACACGATAGTTCATTTTTCATTTTGATTATTGTCTTCATTGCAGGTATTTATTTTTAATGCTTTTTTATAATTTACAAGTCTTTATTGATAATCTCTTGGTGGTACAACATTTTCATACTTTTCTTTAATTCCATATACATAGTTTTAATTAGCTCTTTGAACATATTTATAAAAGATGACTTAAAGCCTTTGCTTAGTAAATTCAATATTTGGACTTACTTTATTCTGTGAATTTGCATTTTTTGGGTGAAGCTGGATATTTTATACAAAATGTTCTGGAAACCAGTTTTACCTTCCCACCAAGGGCTTTTTGGTGTTCCTTTTTGTTATTTAAGTCCTTTTCTAGATTATTTGATTTAGGACAATTTGCAACTATTTTCAGTGTTTTCGTAGAGGTTCTCATCTGGCCATTCTTGATGCATTTTCTTTCCCATCTACTGCATATTTTCAGTAGTTGCCAACATAGAGGAAAACTGGCTCATCGTGGCTATAATCCCTCCTCATACTGCCTGACCTTAGCTGGAGTTGCTTCATGTCCAAACATAGGGTCTCACTTAGCTCACCATTCTCCTATGACTTACTGTTTGCCTCAAATCCAAGTAATTCTAAGTGGATGAAAACATCTGTCAGAAGAAACAAGCATCTTATCCATTCCTGTACTTTGCTCACCATTTCATTTTTCCCACACCTCAGTGTCTGATGCTAAGTTCATAGTCACTAAAATTCCAGAATGTACTTTGCCTTCTATTGGCCTGGAATGTGTGTATGCATTTTCTTATTCTGTCTCCTCTTAGTTCCTTTATCAGGCCTTCTGCTGCTCCTAATGAAAGAAACCTCTTTAAATAGGACAGTTTCCTTTTACAGCAAGAAAAGCATATCAGGGTTTTGATGGTGTCACCATTTGAAAAAAACTTGTGACTTTGCTAAATATGAGTGGTATGTGTGGTGGGTGACAGAGAAAGAAGCTATTTTTCCTCTAATATTTATAGTTATATGTAAAGAATCAAAGACAGTTGATTAATAGAAAAGATTTATACTTTGAAAAATACAGCAAGCTACAATTTTTTTTAAAAATTCTCCCTTTCTAGTACTTTTGCATTTGCTTATCAGTGTTAGCTGGTGGGGTAATACTTATCCTAAAGCTACAAAATTAGTGGATACTTGTGGAAGTAGCATCTCTTCCTTTTCTAGTCTCTTAGATGCTCATCCACTGACTTCATTTTGCTTTTAGAATTGGAACTGAATGAAGAAAAACTTTAATATGATCTAGTAATTCTTTATCTTCATTAAATGAAACTCTGTTATCTTACAGAAATATATCCCTTTTTCTTTGTTTTTAGGTTGGCGTTGTAAACGGTACGGTCACCGAACGGGTGATAAAGAATGCCCTTTCTTTATCAAAGGCAACCAAAAGTTAGAACAGTTCAGAGTAGTAAGTAGAAACCCACCATGTCAATTTATGGTTATCAGACATAGTGAATGTTAATGACTCAGATAGTAATCAATAAACTGGAATTTTACATAAAATATATTCCTAGAAATCTTTTGGGACCAAGTATCTGGGGTTAACAACACACATCTCTGTTAAATTACATTTGTTTAACAAATTATTTCTTCAATAGAAAACTAACTTCTTATTAAAGTATCATTTGTTGGTACCTTGGGTATAATGCTTGTTTTTCTGAATCAGATATATTTACTCAAATTTTTTAACATATTAAAAAATTACGTTTCATAAAACTAAAATCAGGGTCTCAGATTTATCTAAAGATTAGATATCTTTCAGTTATACGTTAGACATGTCTATGTAAATGACATATTTTCTTTAGATGACAATAAAGTAGATCTATTATTTGCTCACTTTATTCTGATAGTCACCACCCAAGATGTTGGGCTGGTGAACACCAAGAACTGTGTGGGCTGAGTGAAACATGCTACTGTATGGATGTAGTGAGATCAGCAGACATCCTCCAAGGTGTTTAAGATAGTTAAAATATTATATTGTGTTTTCTTTTTTTTTTGAGTTTTTAATACAAGATTTTATTAATTTCAAAAATTCTTTATTTTTTTAAATTATTACAAAAGTTTATTTTTATATCATTTTGCACATTTCTTTTTTTCCATTTCGATTGTAGTCCCCGCGGGTTTCCCATCACCAAATCACCCGTGTGCCACCACCATAGTCC